GTTTTATACTTCTCGTGAGCTTTAAAACTGACAAAAGTGACAGTGGTTTAAGAGTGCTTTCTTCTCCCATGAGAGCAAAATTGCATGCTTAAGTTCAACAAAAGAGTTAAGCTCATTTACAGCCCTGGTAAATAATTCCAACAAAGATGATTTAACAGGTTTGCGTCTTCGTTAGCACTACCTTACAACCCTGCTGGTTAACAGACCGTAAAGTGCCGAGGAGCGAGATAAGACGGATGGACAATAGACCAATCATGTCGGGGTGCATTAGTGAATATCGACCGTCAACTGTCATCGACAATCGATGACATTCGATCAACTCGTGAAAAGGCTTCCTCGCGCTCATTCCGTGACGGTTCACTAGAGCCGCATCTGTTTCGACAGTTACCTGAAAAGATAGGGCAGGCGAATTTGACAAGGCACAGTATAGCGAAAACTGACTTCCAGCATTTCAATTCGAAAACTTCCGTCTGGTTTTTTGTGTGAAATTTGATTGTAATTTGGTAGGAAGATGCCTAGCGCATAGTCTGCTTCCAGACTTCATGAGAAATGCTGTATAATGGAAAGCGGTGGTTTTGTTATCTCGAATTGGACCTGAACACAATTATACCTCCTAAGCTAAAATGTCTTGACAATGCCTGGATCGTTAATACGAGTGCGTAGGAAAGTAGTGGAACATTGATTTTCCAATTATTGCTAAAAATCCGCTTTTTTCCAGTTTTATACTCTTTATGGCTACTCAAATAGGAGTAATTTGATCATTTTTGATCCAGGCATGTGGAATGTTACCAGATTATTCGAAAGCAACCAAATTACTAACGACTTCATGCAATACAATCATCCTTAAGGTAAGACTTACAACAACCTCGATTTCATAGGATATTTTTGAGGGACGGTGTAGCGACATACAAGGGCGCATACATGTTGGCCATTTAGCGGGTTTTACCCAATTATTTGTCCCCTTGCCTTCGAATGGCATGTGAGAAAGATATGCAGCCAACCAGAGGCAGACACGTATGGGAAACAGCGACGCAGACCGCTTGAATGGCTCTGATGAACAGCACCTGACAAATGGTTCTGTCTCGTGATTGGTCGATAAAGCCTGTTCTGTTGTACCAGTCTTCTTCCTATCAGGGCTCGGGTATTCTACAGTGGTTGGGCACTTTCTTGTCAAAAATACCAGTGCCGTTCTCCTTGCCCGCAAATTTACCCAGTGGTTTTTCGATTCTATCCTTTTGCATGGCACCAAAATATCAATGTCAAAATGCCCCTATTACTTGGCCTTGTTTTAATGCTTCAAAAATGTTATGTTCGGCGGGATTTTGAAATGGATATTTGAATAACAGGGCCACGTTTGAATGTTCACTTATTGTTCGCACTTTGCGCTGTTTTGAACCTGTAAGTAAGAAGTGTATTCACTGCTCACCCAACGTAGCGCTTCTTGAATTCGATCATTCATATGCTAAAACACTGAGTGTGGATCGACATCTGCATAACGTTGTTGCATAATTTGCTTGAGTAACCTGTTTACGTAGCAAGTATTTATCTTTTCTATGTGAATTAGTTCAAATCCGGTTACCACCTCACACCGTCTTTGGTAAATGCCGTGAATTTTCAGTCAACAAAAAAAACAAGGAAAATATCAATGTTTTGATGGAAAATTATGTTTTCCTCAAATGTTAGCTGCTGAATTTTAGTCCAACATCAAGATTATTGGAAAATAATCAAAAGTAGAGGACATCCATGCAAATGGGTGAGTTATTTCTTGCTAGTAATAAGTGCTGCATTTTGACTCGTTTCTCGTAGTTTAGATAACCTCTGAGCATTTTTAACACATCGAGGCGACTAGATGAAGTGCCATTGCAAGTGTGCCTGAAAACAGTAATAACCGATTCCTTATTTGAAAATCATACAAGGCAGTCCATTCAATGGACGATACCAAAATAGTTATCGTGGCACTCTGAAGATCGATCGAAATGATATCTTTAAATTCAGCTTCTCCAATCCAGGACAGGACTTCCATTGAACCTTTTAGTACCAACAATCCATAGGTAGATGTAGGTTTTGAGATCCACTGCCTTGATCAAGTACATTTCAATTTTCTAATTGGAAGGCCTTGGAGACGCACATTCAAGGAAATCCTATCGTTTTACTTTGAACAGAGTTTAAGACTCACGCATATTTGTTTCTGGGTGCGAGTTTACCTAGGACGAATTTCATTAGCGTAGAGGTAGGCAGGTAATGTTTGACGTTCCATAAAATACGTAACCATTCACTTGCATCAGCAATCGATTGTTGAGCAAATAGTTTAAATAATTCAAATATCGTGAGCGGTATCTGAGTGGTTCAGTGATAATCCAATTAGCGAATGCTCACTATTTCATCCACGTGACCGTTTGTAGAAGTCTATTGTCTTTGGTCATTTCAAATTTTACGAAAAATGGTGAATTAGTAGAAGAGCAAAGAGGTTTTTGTGCAAAAGCGTATTTTGTTATCATCACAGCGGTTAACTTCTATTTGAGAGGCCTCCGCACAAATCAAAATAACACCTAACTGATCGTTTACGGGTTTAGAAAAAATTTTAAAAGATGCCAATTCCAAAGGACTGAACGTCGAATCTGAAGGCAATAGTGGTGTTACCTAAGATTTGACCTTCGAGGCAACCATTTCTGACAAAAGAGAGGCACAAACAACAGCTCCAAGTTGGCACGCGCAGGTCAGAAGGGACATGATGCCAGCAGCCAGGTAGTGGTCGTTGATTTGGTGAAAAAGGACCAGACCACAGCCCTATAGAGGAACCAACATGCAATCGATAATCACCATGCTTGTCAACTGGCTTGGTGCCTGGATGTGATTCAAAGCACACTGGAACCCTTATAAGGACAGATATGTGGCAGAAGTGAGAAGAGGCTTTTACTCACCGGATTGAATGTAATTCGGCATCTTTTGGATTTATCCTCACAACAGGACTGAGGAATGACTTTCCAATCGTCTGGATCTACTCCACCACAGCAATTAAGCTACAAATAATGGCATTATTCTACAAAACGTCCTTCTTACGTTGTCTTGTAGATAATTCAGGATTTCTCTAAATCTAACCGAGGAACTCGAGTTGGAATTCTCGACGAAAAGGATTCCTTCTTGAAAAGCCGCACTGACGACGTCCACATACTACACATCTTGTTAAGCACTCTCGCCATCATCACCTTACCTGTTCACGATAAACAAAGGCCAGGACGACACAAGTTGATTCGAGGACACAGAGAACAAGAAGACCTAGAGCGAACTACGACGAGGTCAGATATAATGACATAGCAGCATACCGTGTTTAGCATTCGTCCGTTTTCGAACCATGCTGCCAGCAGGCCCAAAAGTCCGGCAGTGAAGACGAGCATGGCGACTATAGTCACGAATGAAAATACTCCTATTAACACCTTGGCACCAGTCATTGCGGAATCTGCCAAAATGTAGGCCGCCAGACTCCCGCATATGACACCACCAACCTACACGTCCGAATAGCAGTCACCACGCCAAATTTGGAATTACCATCACAGTCGTGCATAGTACGAGGACAGCAATTTTTAGGCATTTGACACTGTAAGGTAAAGCCATTGCATTGATGAAGGTTGCAGTCAGTCGCCCTACTTATACTGACCTGAATCCTTGTGTGAACGCCGTGATTGGCGGAGATGGTGTTTGCGCTGTGATGACCTTGGTGGAATACTAAGATACGTCGTCCGACAGCGCACCTTGCTTGACCTCACTGTTGGCAAGCCTGAATCGTGCCAGTTTTAGCCTTGATGTCTATGCCACAATGCATTTCACTTGTCGCCAGTTTGCAGTCACACGCGCAGGGTATGACGGACCACAAACTCCACGAAGCATCCCATCACACGAGCCTGTTGAAAGCAGACTTGAATAAACACTGCTGTGGCGCCATCCATTGTCCCAGACAAGATTATCTTCTCAGGATTCCAGTGTCTTCCAATTAACTAATCTAAATAACTCATGTTTTTTGGTCATGTGATGTTTCAATTAGTTGAAGATTTTATGAAAACCGACACAGGACTGAAAAACATGATGTTCCAAGTGCCAAAAGCACCATCGAGGCTCGTCAGCGGTAAACAACAAAAGTAGCTGGCTGCAGGCCATCAGAGATATTTCTAATTATCATGAACGATTAAAGACTGTAACAATCACATGTGTTGGCTTTACCAAATTGATGACGCGCACATGTTTGTACTCAAACATTCGGCATTGTCTCTAGTTTATGTCTCGAAATTGGAATCTACTTTACCCACTTCTAGCACCATTTGTCCAAACTTTCTTCTCCCACTTGCGACTGTACGTCTGGCATAATTTCTTGTTGCACAAAGTACACACATGCACATGCACCTCAAGAGCGGCACTGCTACCCAGGTGAAATTGTTCATTTTGCATAACTGCTATCGCGTGAGATGTAACCCGGGCTAATGACACACCAGACGGCAATACTTAGCACTCATTGATTCAAATTCAGACGGCAAAAATGGGTCGCTTGGTATTTTCAGTGTGTAAGTCTACAAATTGCATCACACTCTGTGCGTCTGCCTACGATCAGGTCAAGGGTTAATTGTTATGTTTTGACATGCGTTGTGTGGAGATATCACCCACACGATGTGAAATTCTGTTCAACTTTAGCCATTCTGGCCGCACAATTAGCAAAATATAGTTTGGTGTCAAAAAAAAAAGAAAGACAACCAGCCTTTGAACTCCATAACTGCCTTTAATGACATGCAAACAGATAGTACTTGATCAGTACTCTGAAATTCGCTACATACCTTGGTAGGAATATAAGGTACCCTTTTTAAAAAACCCAAACTCTGTACGAATTTGTGATATCTTTGCTACTGCGCAGATATAAAATTGGTGTGGCACAAGCATGCTTTCGACTTATTCGGGATTTTTACTAAGTGACCTTAATTTCGCATACCTTCGTTGTATGTTGAGTAATTTGACGATGTTGTATCCTGCTACTCCCGATACATTAAACAGTTTGAATGTTTCCCTTTACGTTTTCCTTGTCTTTGAAATAATTTCGAGCCTATCTCTCAGTTTTCAGGCTCTGTTTCCGGGTAATATGGACCGACAGATTCTTTCCTCACAAAAAAAGAAAAATGAAAGTTATACTATGCGCTGTTGTATACTAGGCATGTAAGCGGGGAGCGAAAAGTTGATTATTTTGCAGCATTATTCAATTGGCTGGATTTTTCGGCACCTTCGGGGTGCATGAATGTGACCATCAAGCAAATAAAGTTTACACGTCAGTAGCTAACTGCACTCGTGCATGGATAATAATGCTTGCGGACATTTCAGCCATGTAACTTAGCTCTAGTGCGATCAGAAAATATGCTCATAACTGTACGACCAAAGTAAAATAGTTTTTGACAAAGTCTTTGTCGGTAACGCAAATATTAATTAAGTACGCATGCTAAAAAGATCGCATTTAAACATTTTAAGTTAATTCAGGCAAGCTCGATTTTCCCCAATATCAGCATGAAAAAATCCTATTAGTAATTTCCTAAAAACATCTTTCAATTATCTGTCAAAGACCACGTTAAAGAGCATTTGGAACGTTGGATAAGCAATATCGAAACGAGTGCTACTTATCATTTTGTTAGACATTTGTTCTAATGATTAGTTAGAAGCATTTGAAACACAGAAAATAGATTCTACAAGAAGTAATAAAAATTAATCAAATGAACTAGGAAGGGTCTCTGCTCCCCAAAATGGCTGCGTTGCATAATATTAAAGCTTTATACCGTTTTGAATTGGTGGATAAATCTAAAATATTGACAAATTTCGATCTCATGAGTCATCTAGAAGTTTAGAGTTTTTATCTGTCACAACTATATATGCCTGTTGTATTACTTTTCGCATTAAAAAAACACTCTGTAAAAGTTGATTAGCATTAGTAATCAATGTGAGCATTGAGCCTAGTAGTTAGTTTTAACGCACCATTAAACATTGTCGTAATAGAGGATGCATATTCAGAAAACGCGATTTTAGGTACGCAAAGAACTCCAAAACAAATACCATGGCTGTAAAACATTAACCTACGCAATTAATAATAGTCCTCTGTTTTACACTCTTACCTAACTATAAGTAAATAAGTAATTTAAAGAATTGTTTTGATGTTAAGGAAGGTTGTGGATTTGGTTCTAATTATACTTATCCCTTGAATGCAGCATTAGGCATTTCTTTGTCTTATGTAAGATGGTTTGCTAAAACATTCACATTTAATTGTTGTAGAAAACTACGTCTTAATACTAGCTATCCAGAAAACGTTTGTGGAATATCCCAAACTTCAGTAATCCTCGATAAATTAAGAATCGGACATTCTCAGTGCACATCGATAACCGTGATGAAACAATGGTAGTAGTCACTAATAAGCTCCTACTTTAACAGAGTTGTTTGTGGTTGCACTACTGACTAATGCTAGTTAAGTTCAATAGACATCAGTTTTCTAGTGAACTGGTTTCGCAGACAGCATTATCCATGCCACATTCACGTCTCGTAGTGGCAAAATGTGCACACTGGAATGTCCCAAACCACGGTACTCCTCGACTAATTGAGAAACGGGCATTCTCCATGCACATGGATAACCGTGGTGAAATAAATGTAGCCATCACTAAATAGCTCCAATTTGAAAAGAATTGCTTGTGGTTGCAGATCTAAGCACAACACAGAGTGGGCGCAAAATGGGTGCTTGGTGAGTCAGGGATGACCAATGAGAGTCGAGATCTACCGCGATGTTAAGGAGTTGGTCGAATCTCAAAGAACCGTTTGAAAAAGTGCACTCACATTACTGACACTCTGCCCAAACATTCTCAGGATCCTCGTGTATGGGCACAGACACACTGCCTCGAGTGGCGTTCAGCTGCGCCACGTCAGTTGGTTGCTGTGACTCACGTTGTTGTTACCGTTGCTACCGCTGTTGCTGACGTCTGAGTGGTCAGCATTCCCTAGACGGCGGTCACAAATGGAAGTCATTCAAAGCGTCTTCCAGTTCGCGCAAGCAACGTGGGATCGAGCGTTGTCAAGCAGCAGATTCACGACCTGTCTGTACCCTCGCACAGTAAATGGCCTTTGTAGGTCAAGTTCTTTGCTCACTTTCTTCAATTGTCGGCTCTAGCGTTGCGCAGTCACCGTCTGACGACCAATTTCCAGGAGTCTGTAACGCTGTACACGCTTTTCCTAACTGAATTGTTTGCAAGCTTTTGTTGCGTTTGCGTCAAGTCTCTATCCAGTAGAGCCTGCAATTCCGCATCTTCACACTTTCGAGACTGATCACTAGGATTCAAACCACTACTTCTGAAACGTCATTACTATCGGTTACGCAACTTTGAAGCTAAGGACATCGCAACTTGATTCCTGTCGTGCTTCAGAAGCACTTGTTCCTTGTTGGGTTTTGTAGAAAACGCAGAGCCATAAACTGTGTTCTTTATCAGCCGCCATCGTCGTAGACTGTTATTGTGAGAGACCATGCAACTCAGGTACGTAGACTTGTCTTTTGGTATTCTGAAAACTCGCGTCCAATCCTGTTAAAACTACAAAAGACTGCGATAACATTTTTATTTCAAATGTAATTTGAAACTCGAGGAAAAAATCTGCAAAATTATGTCATGAACATGTTTGAATTTAAATGAAATTCGAATAATGTGATGAGCTGGAATATTTGCATACCTTTGTCTTTGCGTCCGTATCTTTTCCCAATTACACCCAAATAAGCAAATGATTGCATTCATATAAATACCTGGACAACCAAGAATGTTAGTTTCAGCCTAATGCTAGCTAAATACTTTTAAGAAAGATACTTGTAATCAACAGAATATCTATGTGGGGAATTCCTTGCCAAGTAGTCTCCACCTCATAAATAAATTATTACGCAATTCCTTGTTAGTAACAATACAATTATCCCTAGCATAATATTGGCTTTAGTCTCACACAGATTTGTTTGTTTCACCCTGGAAACGTCTGTGAAATGCAGCATAAACCCAAATTCGTGATTAAATTTATAAATGTCAATACTTGGCTGAATTTGATCAGTAACTACCAGTCTTAGGACAGGCAAAACATGAGTGATTCGCCCTTTTGTGCCAATAAATGCATTAATGTATCATGTTCTTTCATAATAATAACTCAAAATGACAATAAACGTACTTTGCCTGACGTCTGAACACAGATTCCTTAAACCCATGGCATTTTTCTAGATCGTTTTAACTTCATGACCGTTGGTCGGGTTTTTGAAGTTTCGCGCCATGGAATTGTTGATGGTAATTTCAAAGACAAAATTTAACACCATGTCAGGGCACACTTAATTTTCTACTAACTATGCAAAGCCGCATAAATTAAGATGAAAATCTACCAAAATGGAGATTTCGACCATTTCTGCAAATTCACATTAAAGGTGAGCATCCACTTCGCTCAAGCTAGGGAGCAACCTGATTTTCAGGCCGATATAGAGTGACTCCGTTTGTTGCTCGTACACAAAACACCAGTAATGGAAAATATTATTTTTTTATTTGCGGACATCTTCTAGTGCGTGTGACTGGCATAAATCTGCCCCGTGAGAATCACTTGTCTGTAAGGCAGCGACGGATGAGGATGCATGCTCCGTAGTAATCTAGGTAGGTGCTAGACTTGTGCTGGTGGTCACTCGCTAGCAAGTAGTAAAGAATGTCAGTGATCGAGGTAATGTGATTACGTGGGTGGTATAAAATAGAGGCGCATGTTTAAACCTGATAGTTCATGATGCAACATGGACTGCGCGTAGCGCTCCACACCAACGAAATGTGGCGAAGATGATAGCATTTATACCGTTCCAGAGCACTGCACGTGTCAAATTCAGTTGAAACTCAACGGCAGCATCATATCTATGCGCACACAGCCAGCTGCTATTTAA